GCCTGAGGCCATGCTTGGGTGCTTGTGTACCTTCGTGGGTGTGAGGAGGCAATGGTGGTGGAGCTTCGTCGCTGGTGTCGGTTGGTCAGGTTCTTTTGGGTTGGTTTTGGGCCCGTGGCGCCTGTCTTTTACGCAGGCTACTTCCTTTCCCGCCTCTTAAGGTTTCGCCTGAGCGTGCCTGTTTGAGGGTGGGCCTTGGTGCTCTCCCAACAACTGGTGGAGAGCTGCTTGTTTCGGCAGTGCTGGCTGTGCTGTTTCGTGCAAGGTGCCTGGCCTCTGGCCGTTTCGTGCCCTTGTGCTTGGCAGCCCAGTTTCACGCACACTGCCACTTGCGGCGCCTACTGTGTTTGCAGTGGTTGGCCTTGCCCTGGTTAGTAAGAGCGAGAACGCCAGGCCTCTGCCCAACTCCTGTCCCTGTAAGGCTGCCGTTGGCCTGCTCCTGCCAAAAGCTGCGCAGTGTGAGGTAAAGGAGTGCTTAGCGCTGGCTTCGGCATAAGTACTCGGCCCTGGTTAGTAAGAGCGTGAAAGCTGGGGCCACCTGTATTGCTGCGTGCCTAGGTAGAGAGGCAGTAGGCAAATTGGTCTAACCATTTGCCATAGTTCCCCCGGCCTCGAGGCTAGGAGTGGAAGGTTAGGGGGCAGGGTGATACCAGATCAGAGTACCTACGGGGAAAGGATACTGGTCACCCCAACCACACCGTGGGTTTCCCAGGTGCGTAGAACCAGCTTAGTACCTACGGGCAACAGCTTGGTGTCACGCTGAGGGTTTCCCCGGCGCTTTCCAGCTCCACGAAAGCCTGGGCCCCTTTTCCCCCAAAACTGGGGAAGCAGTGAGGAAAACCCTCACTGGCAGTCGTAGGCTTACAGTAGGCTCGACCGTTTCACTTTGGCCTCTGGCCGCACAGCTCGCGCCCTCGAGAAGAAAATCCCATTTGACCTTGGATGTCCTGATGTTTTCGGCATGCCTGAAGCTGTTAGGAGTGCTTTTGAGTTAGGTCAGTGACTGCACGTTCGTTTCGTCTCGTTTCGTTAGTGCTTGAAGTGTTTTGCTTGGAGACAGACAGCTGCAAGGTGTTTCACTGTCAGTCAGAGCCCGACGCGACTCCGCTTTGGCTCAAGAAAAAGACCGAGTGCTGTGCGCTCTGTTTTTCACAGCATCTGGGTACAAGATGACGAGGGTCAGCATGTTCGTGCCACGCCCCTTGGAAAGGCAACTGGTGTGTTCTGCAAGTGTCTGACAACCCTGTGGAGTTCGATGTTCTTCTCTTGTCCATCACAGCATGTGGCGGAGCCTGGCAAGCATGTCTACACATTCATGCGGGTTCCCTTCCTCTCCCGCCTCCCGGTTGAAGCCGCTCCTCAATCGCGTCTTCATGTCTATTTGCTGGACTTTGGCTGCAGCTGCTGCAGTAAACAAGCCTTTGTCCGAACCAGTAAGGAAACCCAAGGCCTTGTGGCAGGCCCTTTTTGATGACAATGATCTCTGTGCCGTCATAGCCTTTGCTGTCATTATAAACTTAAATATATCCGAGACCGGGTGCTGCCCATGGTATTGGCAACCTGCTTTGCAGCTGCGGGCGCGTCGTCCCTGTTGGCCAGCATTCCTGCACGCCTTGACGTCCAGTTGCCTTGCCGAGCTGGACAGCTGGGCAAATGAGGAGGGCAAATAAACACAAAGGATTGGAATGGAATAAAACCCTGCACTGAGAACTGTGCCGGGTGCAAGCTCGCCACCAGCATCAGGTCGCCGCAGCAGCTGCACCGTCTTTCGTTGGCTCCAGCCTTGTCACAGGCGTCCCGCTATTTCTCCTTGGAAACGATCCTTAAGTTGCGCTGTGTTGGGCCCAGACGCACAATAGGTTGTTCCCCACGTTCCACTTTCCGGCCACATGCACTGTGAGCGACGATTGTGGCGGGTTGGCGCCGGCATCCGATCCGCCACTGTTTTGCACACCGTGGTTCGATTGGTTTCGTCTTCGGGGTGCGCATCTGGCCGACTTTGAGTTGTAACGACTCTAGCCCCGCATCATGTCTGGAAGCGGCTCGCCACGGTGAGCGTTGGACTTTTGGATTTTGGTGTGCACGATCGTGACGGAACATTGCACGGGGGCTGTCCGTTGTCTGGCGAGACTAGAACGGCTGCCGGAGCTTGGACTTGGCTCCACCTGTTGCTTTGGGCAGCTCAGAGCGACGGCTCTTTGTTGCTTCGGATCGGTCGCTGAGGCTCCGTAGCTGTGCTGAACGGCTAACACCGGCAAAGCCTGTGCGCCGCAGCCCTTGTAGAGCTTCGCTTTTTGTCTCACCGCTTTGTAGTGCTTTTGCTTAGTTTGTTGTCTGCTTGTTTGTGGGGACCGAGTGCTACAGCGTAGTCGACGAGGCCCAGTCACGCCAAAAAAAAGCAAGCATGTCTGCACATGACTCAAGATAATCCGGCAATGAAGAAAGTGAAGAGCTGGGATGGCCTGCACGTCAGCAGCGCGCACAAACTCACTTTCACCAAGGAACCCCAAAGGTCGCAAGCTGAGTCGGCTGCGCAGGCCCTACCACAGGCTCAGTTTCCCCACTCTTGCACGGCTGATCCTAAGGGCATGTTGCTGTCGCACAGGTGACCGGATTCGGCTGCACAGGCCCGACCACAGGCTCAGTTTCCCCAATCTTGCACGGCTGAACCTGAGGGCATGTTGCTGTCGCACAAGTGACTGGCACAGTGTGGCCAGGCAGAGGAAAGCCCAAGTTCCGTGGGACGCGCACATCCTCTTTCTTTAGAGAAGCAACGCGATTCGGAATGAATCCGATCAGCACGACTCTGGAGTCTTCCCAAGGCAAAGTGCAGTGGAAGCGATGTCCATTCATAAGGTCCCAGGAGCCAGCCTGAGTCGACCTCCTTCATTGTCTTTTCCCACAGCAAGATGTCCTTCTCCCGATCGCCGGAAGATCCCAAGGAGACCTTGAGAGCTTCGTTGGCCCGAGAGGCCGCAGCGCACAGGTTATTGGGGTGCAAGGAGGCTGGAGTAACCTTCCCTGGCAGCGCTTCTTGCAAAGGATTCGTTTCATGTGTGGGTCATCTATGTCCCAAGAAAGGTCTGGGTCACGCTCAATTTCACACGCACGTGCAGTCCACTTATTGATGACTACAGCAGGAGTGGCGTCAACTCTTGTGTGACGACTTTGGAACAGCCCACTGTTGACACTGCAGATGTGGCAGCTGCTATGTTTGGCAGGTTGTGCACGAAACTTCGTGATGCTAAGAAACCTTCGTGGATCAAGGGTCGTGCCTTCGACCTCACGGCGGCCTACCGCCAGCTGTGCGTAGCCTTGAATTCACGTCGCTTCGCGGTCATTGCAGTGTATGACCCACGCAAGCAAAAGACCATGCTCTTCACTCAGGTCTGCCTTCCCTTTGGATCGCGGGCTTCTGTGAATGGCTTCATCAGGTGTTCCAGGTGCATCCAATGGCTTGCCAATCGATGCCTGCTTGTGCCCACCACCTCTTACTATGATGACTTCATTGTCGCCTCGCCCGATTGTCTTGCCGACAACACGGGAGCGACCATGGAGCTGCTGTTCCAACTCCTTGGTTGGGTCTTTGACGTGGAGGGACCCAAGGCTGACGTGTTCTCCAGACAGGTGTCTGCCCTGGGACTTCGCTTTGACTTGGAAAGTACAGGTGATTGCGTGGTCACTGTTGATAACACGGACAAGCGTAAAGGCGACATTCGGGCTTTGGTGACACGCATTCTTGATGAAGGTGTGTTGTCTTACAAAGAAGGTCTTGAGCTGAGAGGCAAGCTCTCCTTTGCGAACTCTCAGGTGATGGGGAAGGCGGGGCATTACGCTCTTAAGCACATCAGCTCACATGTTCACGCCTGGCCTTTTGTTCCCAAGCTAGCCGCCCCTGCTCGGGAAGCTCTCAGCTTTCTTGTTTGTGATTTACGTGCCCACTGGGTACCTCTTATTTTGGGTGGGATCGAAATGATTTTATCTTTCCCATTTTATGTTTCCGCTTTGCATGCTTCCACATTTTCATTTGAAGTAGTTTGTATGTCGCCTTGCATGATATGCTGATTCCGTGCATTCGTAGGTGTTTGAAGAATCAAGGAAAACGTTCATGGTAGCGGAGCGCTAGTGCGCTCTTTGGACCTTCGAGGCCTTTAGCTGTAGCTCGTAGTGCCCCCCACGTCGTAGAAAGGCTCCCTCTGTAGTGAGGCTCCCGGTTGTCGCCATATCGCAAAACAGCAGAGCCGAAGCACCGGCTCAGACCCTTGAGTCAGGCCTGTCCGTGTGCTGGGACAGCCGTGAGAAGCTTCAGTCCTTGAGGGAACGTGCTATCGGAGCTGCTATCGAACTTTACACAGAGCTGCAACTTCAAAAGCCTCGTACGCCATCTTTGTCTGAGTACTCATTTGGCAAGAGGCAGGTTCAGCTGAGGCAACTGCATCAGCATCGCCTTAACCGATTGCACGTGGCTGCTGAGATCATTGCATACGCTTGTAAGCTGCTTGCACTTGACACACATCTTCTGGAAGTGTTTCTGCGGTATTCCTACGAGGTAGTGCTGCGAGCTGAGGAAGTCAGGTCATACCAGCCGGTCAGGCGAGTGCCCCGATCCTTCAGGCAACTTCGCTCTGGCCAGGAGGTGATCGATCTTGAGTGCTCTTGAACGTGCAGTTTTTCTTGATCAAATTTTCAGTTTTCCTTGTACCACTTGCAGGGCCTTGTGCCCCTGGTGTGCTGATCTAAAGAGGTCAGCAGTGTGCGTGTGCTTGACATTGCCAAGTCAATCACTCCTGTGCCTGGTTGTCCCTGACCCTAGGCCCCTAATCCTTTTAGATTGTGCGTGACTCAAGTCAGTCACTCCTGTGCCTGGTTGTCCCTGACTCTAGGCCCCTACTAGTTCCTGTGTCCCGTGAATCCCACCTGCTTGTAGGAGTGGTCAGGCCATCCACTGCTGGTGGAGTGTGTGAGCCCAATCAGATTTACCACTGCGCAAATTTTCCGCAATGAATCCCAATGATGTTCCCGTGTCAGACTCTCCCTTGCAGTCTCCTCCAGCGGGCTCTGAAGCCGCGCCGTCCAGTGGTTTTGGCATGCCTCAGATGCCTTTTGGACCTCAGCCCCAGCCTGTAACATCCCAAGCTCCTGCGAGTGTCGATCTTCAGGTCTTAAGCCAAGTGGTTGCACAGCTTGCGTCAGTTGTTGGCCAGCAAGCGCAGACAAGTGCTGCTGCCCCAGGGCCTCGAGAGGCCAGTGGTAGCTTTGAGGGTAATTACACTTTGGCAAATAAAGTCTTGAAGTGTCCTGAGGGTTTTGGATCAGATGATTTTGAGAAGGATTGTGGGCTTTGGTTCTCTTGGAGCATGTCATTTCGCAACTGGCTCGAGTTCGCAGAGCCTGTGTTCGAGAGTGAACTGCGTGAAGTCGAGCAGCGCTTGGACGAGCAAACGTCCATCACAGGGATGCCCGAGGCATGTGCGCTGCGTGGCAAGCGCCTCTGGACAATCCTGAGCACTTTGCTCAAAGGTCGTGTGCTTGGAATCCTTCGGAGTGTGACAGATCGTAATGGCTATGAAGTTTGGAGGTTGTTGGTCACGACATACCCTCCTAAGACTCGCAGCCGTTCGTTGGCCATGTTGTCAGCGATTATGCAGCAGGGCCGATTTACCATCAAGGGCCAGACTTTGCTTGAACAAATCACTGCTTTTGAGCGTCTTGTGCATGCTTACGAAGATGCGTCCAACTCCAAGGTTCCCGACGACATTTTGTTGTCGACACTTGTCCGATGCTGCCCCAATTACTTGACCCAACATGTGCATTTACGCATGACCCCTACCACCACTTATCAGGAGGTGCGTGCCATGATGATATCGTACGAAGTGTCTACCACTCGGTGGACTCCGACCAAGGTCGCCGCTGATCTGGGAATCCCTTCTAGCAGTGCTGCACCCATGGATGTGGATGATGGTCATGCTTTGCGTATCAAAGGCAAAGAAAAGGGAAAAGGAAAGGACGGAAAAGGCAGGGACAAAGGAAAAGGAAAGGACGGCAAAGGCAAGGACAAAGGGAAAGGAAAGGACGGCAAAGGCAAAGGTGGTGCGAAAGACAGCAAAGGTAACGCAAAGGGTGCCAATCAGGCTGCTTCGAAGAAAGATGTGGTTTGTCACTACTGTTGGAAGAAGGGCCATTACAAGAGTGAGTGCCGGAAGCTTCAGGCTGACCAGAACGCCGGCAATGTTCGTCAGGTTGAGGGTGCTGAAGCCACCGCATCCAACGACAACTCCAAGGCCACTTCATCCACTGACAACAGCAGTGCCAATGCCAGCGCGCGGCCCAATGCTACTGTGCGCCGCATTGCTTTTGATCTTACCGCTCCTGATTGTGCTGTGCCCTCTGCCGCTAGCCATGCTGTCATTCGCAAGATTTCTACATGTTCCAGTCCTGAGTGGTTCGACATGACTTGTGGAGATCATGTGGATGATGTGGTGACGGCCCCTGAGCCGCTGCATTTCGACCTCACCTACAGTGACGAGGATGGTGAGTGGACCAGGGCTTTCAACTGCACGGCCTGTGCTGAGGCCCCCCTGCCGAGTGTCCGAGCTGTTTGCCACGAGCGTGAGCTTGACATCTGTGTCGATTCTTGTGCTGACGAAAGCTGCATTCCTTACAACATGAGTGAGATTGGCTTCCCCGGTGGAGCCAGCCGCACCCTTCAGGATGCTCAGGGTCACCCGATGACCACCCGCGGTACAAGGTTGGCTGTCCTTGACAGCGGCACTGCCAGCTTTCGCGAGTCGTGGGTGATTAGCCCCGTGGGTCAGCCGATTTTTGCTGTTGGCAAATTGCTGCGCCGAGGCTGGCGTATCGTTGACGTGCAGCTGATGTCGCCCGACGGCGATGCGTGTGTGCCCCTGCACTTTGAACAGAACAGCTTGATGTGCCGAGGGGTTATTCGGGTGGTGTCTTCTTCGGATGTTGAGGTGACTGTTAGTCCCTTCATGCTGCGATGCCTTGATACTTGTGACTATATGTCTGAGGTCACTCCGGGTGTGTTTGGGCTTCGGTTGCTTACTTCACGATTTCCCGACATCACAATGCTTGAGCCGTACGAAGGGCTGTGCTACCGGACCACCATTGTGCGGAAGTCCGAGACTGAACCATGGCATCTGCTTGAGTTGTCTGAGCCTCTTGAGCTGCTTGAACAAGGCAAGCTTGATCGTGTGATCGATGCGACGCGACCCAATCATCCCTTCGACTGTGTGGTCTTTGGGCACCGAACTGTTCTCACTCCTGGTGAGCTTGGCTTTGAGTACGCTGCACCCCCAGCTGGTTCAGAGGCACCCGTGCCCGCTCCAGCTGGTGTTCCACCAGGCCTTGCTGATCCAGCCGGTGTTCCACCAGGCCATGCTGAGGATGTTGCACCAAACCTTGATGCAGGTGAGGTGCCCGGTGTTGAGGTTGGAGATGTTGCGGATGCGGCACTTGCCGGTCCCCGGGATGATGGCCAGGCTGAGGCTGTGATGCAAGATGCCATTCATGATCGTGATGGTGAGTTGCCCGAGTCAATCACCATTGATGATGTTGTTTTGACGGCTGAAACAAACTTGCGGACGTTGCGAGCCGCCTGCCAAAACTTGCAAGTTGGAAAGTCTGGAAGCCGTGCCACGGTTTTCAAGCGTCTTGTTGAACGCCTTCGGCAGATGAAAGTTGCTGCGAGTGCTGCGGTTCATGCTGAGTCAATTCCTGAGGTGATTGTCCCAAGTCAGCCGGCTGAGCCGACTCCCGAGGTTCGCCGGCAGCATGAAGCCACTCACTTGCCCTACGCTCCGTGGTGCGAAGTGTGTGTCGCACACAAGGCCAGAGACAATGCGCATCATCCGACAGACCCTGCTGAGCGAATCCCAACTATCAGCTTTGACTTTGGCTTCTCAAGCCGTGATGACGATGGACGGCAAAAGCTGTGCTGTTTGTTCCTCCATGACTCCGTCACCGGATGGAGGGAAGCAATAGCTGTTCCAGGAAAGAGTGGAGTCCATGGCGGCCTGCACGTGCAAGCATACTTGACCGCCGAAGTCTGCCGGCTGCTATCTTTTCTTGGATATCGCAATGTGCGGCTGCGCTCTGATCCTGAACAGACTTGTCTTAGTCTTCAGCAAGAGATTGCCAAGGTCCGTCAGCGTGTCGGTCTGCGTACCGTCACCGGCCAAGTAGCTGAGGAAGATCATGCCGCGAATGGCGGGGCCGAGTCCACGGTCCATGTTCTGCGTGCACAGGGGGAGACTGCCATTTCTGGCGTGTCGTCGTAGATGGCTGATGCGAGCAGCTGGGCTTCCGTGCGCATAGGCTTAGAGGACTTGGCCTCCATAATTTCAGAGTACTGCTTGGAGCTGAGTCTGAGCTGCCATGGGATCCATTTCAGCTTCTCCCCCGGCTGAAGGCTGTGCTGAACAAGGCTGAGAAGGCGCATGGAGGGCATGGTTTCGTCGTCCAGGAGCTCACCTGGTTAGTTGGCTTTAATGTACTAGATCTTGCACCACCTCTGAACTGAGCTTCGGGGGGAGGTGCTCCATCCATGATGAAGGCGAGGCCGACGGGGCCAAGGCTGCTGAAAGTGAAGGCGGAGGAGGAGAAGGCAGATGGCTGTCCTGGGATTGGTGCGCTGCTCTGAGGGCTTTCCTGGCTCGGGCCGCCTGCACCGAATGTAGGGCATCCAAGACCCCCATATCGCTAAGGTCTGACTCGGAGAGGCCCTGGAGGAATGTTTTCGTCTGAGTACGCGAAGGCTAGGTCTTCGACCGTCTCGAGCCCCTTGAGGGCGAGACCGTGGCTGGCAGACGACTTCATGCACCCTGTGGGTTTGCAGAAAGGCCGCTAGCTCTGAGTGATCTGCGAGCGCCATGCCTGCCACGGAAAAAAGGGGGTGCTAAGTGTCTAAGCCTAAAACGGCTACAGGGGCAAGACATGGCTGAGTGTGTTCCGTGGGTAGAGCGAGCATTCGCAGCTTTGGCTTTTTTTGCCCCGGCAAGGCTTCCAGCAATCGTCGGCAAGCCGCTCTGCGACAGAAGAAGGCTATGTAGGGCAGCTGCCAGGGTGCGGGGGGTCCCGCAGGCCGCCTTTCGGAATCAGAAGAGTCTTCCTGTAAAGCTGCATAGCTCTCAACCAACAAGGCCTCGACGTCGTTGGCTGGGATGGCCGGCGGCAGGTCTTCTTTCAATAGAGCGTCGACGGTGTTCGGCAAGTCGACTGCTTGAGTCTCCGATGCTGCTGCCGAGGGGAGGTTCCACTGTCGGATGCTGACCTCCCCTGGCTATAGGTCAAGTGGGCCTCCAGCCCGAAGCGCAGGCTTGAGAGATTTCTGTCTGAAGTGCCAAGGCTCCCAGCGTGTCATCCCTACCGTAGAGTTGGACACTAGGGTTTTTGTGATGGCCTTGCTGTTGGCGTATCTTGTCGGCTGCTTGTAGTTGTGCTCCAGCGCTAAGGAAGCAAACCTTATTTCCAACGAAAGCGGTATTTCACAAAAGGAGGAATCCAATCAAATATAATTCCAATGTAATAAAAGTCGTGGCTCCGGCACTCGGTCAAACCCTCTCTCTTTTCACGCAAGCGAGGTATGTCCTGGTGAGAATCAGCATGCATCGTGAAGCAGAAAGGGTGCACACACCCATCACATCGCATACACCATGTGCCACTGCACATGAAGATGAACGGCAATCCGTCATCTCTCACCCTACCCCACTTCAAAGAGAGATGTTAGGAAAGAGTTATGACTTGTTGCACGACGTCCTGGTATATGGCATTGACTGAAGACACATCGGCAGCACGGTCCTGAGGAAGCATTTGGCAAGTGTGATGTTACGGCTCGGTGCATCTGCAATATTGCTGCACGATGGGACACGCGCACACCAAGGCAGCAGGGTACCCTGCTCACAGGTTTTGGCAAAGACATGACAAATGCGGGCGATGGCCCACGAAGCTGAGTAGCCCTTTATCAAAGCAAAGCGGGCACCCTCGTTATCAAGATATGCCATGCACTCCGAAGACGAGAGGTGCTGATTCCAAAGCATGAAGGCTACAACCACTGCGACAGTCTCCAACTCGCCGATGCCCGTGATGGCCTCCACTGGAAGCAGGGGGCGAATGTCGCTCTCGCACAAGGGCAAACCGAACCATGTTACAACAGAAACAAAGGAGAAATTAGAACACCCCCTAGACCCCCAGCGAAGTCAGGCTCAAAGCTCGCATCTGTGAAGACAAACCAAGGTTGCCCCAAGGATTTTGTGATGCGCCTCGGTGACCCGTGCAACACACGATCAAGCAGAAATGAATGTTTTCCTTGATTCTTCAAACACCTACGAATGCACGGAATCAGCATATCATGCAAGGCGACATACAAACTACTTCACATGAAAGTGTGGAAGCATGCAAAGCGGAAACATAAAATGGGAAAGATAAAATCATTTCGATCCCACTCAAAATAAGAGGTACCCAGTGGGCACGTAAATCACAAACACCCCGCCAAAGCATCCTCGAAAGAAGAGGCATGCTTTCCTTTGTGATTGCCTTCAAGGCCTTCCAAACTGCACGGCAACAAAATTTGCCTACAAGCATGTTTGGGCTTCGGGATGCAAGGAACAAAATCTATACATGTGTCGCCTCACAGCAGCTGACTCCAAGCGTGCACTCGCAGAGAAACGCACTCGGTCTTCGTCCAAGGGATGCGGGACGTACCCAGTCCAGGCCGTTACTCAACAAGTCGTTTGACTTGGAGGAGTGAAAAGGAGAGAACCTCTGACCTCTACGGACCTGCCTGACTTGTGGAGCGGAGTTGCTACACACAAGTGTTGCGCAAGCAGTCGTCGTCATTTCAAGTGGCACACGGCTGATTTCAAGTACTCAAGCGCTCATGTCTCAAGCATTTGGTCGGCCCTATACTAGCCACAAGAAAACCACTGGCTCACGACCAGTTCTAAGGGATTAAGTCAAGTGACCCAAGCATTTCAAGCGCTACTGGCATGAATCAAGAGTGTTGACAGGTATCTGTTCGTTGTGCAAGTCGCGTGGGTATAGCAACATCGTGGCGCGTATTCAAGGACGCAAGTCATCATGAGCATTACACCTCAAGAATGTTCCTGAATCAGTGATCGGAAGCATCACTTTGACCATCGGGTTCAGGCTCACCAAGCGGGAGCTCAAGCACGGCCACACGAGGAGGCGCACGCAAGCGCTCAAGCACAGTGTAGATCGGTCCTCCACAGAACATGCAAGGCCTCAGTCCAGGCCGTGCGCGAAGCACAACATGAAGGGGATCTCCAAAGATTCGATTGGCACTGCGAAGTCCACGACAATCTCTCAAAGAATGCATGCACTCACCATACCGCGTGTAGTACACAAACAAATCATTTGGATCATGGCGCACCGTGACGGTCGCTGGAGGAAGTGCAGCTTGTTTTGGAATCGGCACAATCGCCGTTACAGGCACATCATTTGATCCAGCAGCGGTGGCATCATGAACATCAGAGGACTCGCTGCTGCTGTCCCCGCTAGGCTCTGACACATCTGGCTCAAGCTCAGGCTGAATCTCATCAGCAGGCACATGTGCACGGCAAAATCGCAAAACAATCCATATGATCATGCAAAAGATTGCGAAAACTGCAAAGCCGAGGAGGCCGTAGCCGCTCAAGGTGTCTTCCCGGCCTTGTGCCGCGCACGCCGTAAAGGAATCAACGATTGTCAACGCCTGAAGCAAGAGGCTCAGCTTTGAAGCGGGACCTCGGTACGCGCGAACCGCTCGCACAGCGGAACTGTTTGCAGCACGATCCTCATTTGCCGTGGCTTCGGCAACACCAACAAGCTCATCTGAGTTGGCTTCATCACGAACCTTGAACCCATGAAGCAGATACCGGATACGATCAGCTTTCAGAGCTTTCGTTTGCAAATCTGCTAAGTTCTCGGGCCCTGGCACAGCACTCAAGCGCAATTGGTGAGATCGCACAAGGTCTTGCAACCACAGCAGCCGTAAATCAAGATGGCGCAATCGCCCTAGTCCTTGCCTGGCAAGGAACTGGCGAGCGGAAGCACTGTCAGTGTACACGATCAGTTCGGCAGGGCGCTGGGTGCAAAACGATACGGCTTCACGAAGAAAGATCCCTTCAGCACAGGCAGCCGTCAAGGCTAGAAGTTCAGCTTCACATGACGATAAGCTGATCGACTTCTGGGTGCGGCTGGAACTTGCAACCACATTGGAATCAATCAAGCACACGCATCCGCTCACAGATCGGCGGTTTGCTTTTGAAGCACCCCAGTCAGAGTCAGACATGATCTCAACAAGCGAAGATCCTTCATTCGAAGCTCGGGCACGAATGCCAACACCCGGAGATGTGGGAGACATCGATGGCGCATAGCCTGAAGTGCCCTTGGCATACCGCGCAACATGACGCAGCAACTCGAATGCTCGCTTGCTCGGGGATGACATGTGTTGGCACAGCAGACGAATGGCGAATTAATTGCAAGTCGCCGCAATCTTGGCTCATATACATAAGCACACCTACAGCACTGCGGAAGGTAGCTTGATCAGCTGAAGACAACGACTCGCCGTCATCACGAAGGTCCTCGTTGCTCCACGAAGGAAGTGGGGTACGCTTGATGGCTGCATTCTGAAGTCCCAGCATATCAAGAAGCTTGCTCAAATGCTTGGTGGAGCGACGGATAATCAGCACACCATCACTCGAAAGCACATGCTTCCGTTTCAAGAAAGAGATCTCATCGCCTTCCTGGATCATCATCTCTGCTGACACTTTGTACTTTGATTTGATCACATCAAGAACACTTTCAAGCCGGTTCCGCGAACCTGACGCCAAGGTGTCATCGACATGCAACATGCCCGCATTGGGCACTGGGTCGTGCTCACCATCAAGGGGCTTCAAGCGGTAAAGGGCCTCACAGCCCCGCCACAACTCGGCACCGGCGTTATCAACCAGAAAAGTCGTGAAGGCATTGAACCACCCTTTCGAACCCGCACGTTGTCCCGGCAACATGTAACCCAAAGCATAAGACACCCCATAGCCTAACGTAACTATAGTTGGCTTGTCCTGCGGGACGGTCAAGTAGGCGTCGGCAATGTCAGCAGATAGCAAGATGGCGCCATCGGCACCATACGATTGCCTCAGAGCCGGAAGCACTCGATTCAGAATGGCTTGAGAGGCTGGTGAATACAGGTCCTCCCGAAATGGATCGCATCTCTTGTACTCTCGAGCTACAAGTCGTGACCGAAACAACAGCGAAGGAGCTTTAGTAACAGGATGAGGCTTTGGGCGGAAACTTCGCACAAACCGAGTTGACAGTTTGCTATACTCGACTCCTTCAAGGGGTGGCTGCAACACTGTCATACGCTCGAGGCGGGAAATCTCATGTTGGTCAGCAACATGAATCAGCCTTGCCATTTCATCCTCAGTCAGCTGTGGATCGCTGGTGCTGAACGGAAAGAACAACTCAAGAGGAGGAGCGCACTCGGGAGGCAGCTGGCTGCGAGGTGGACGTGTCCATCGGAGTGAGTTTTTGAGAATCTGAGTTTCGTTTTCGTGTGCCTTTATCACGAAAACATTTTCTGTTTTCACAGAGCTTTGTCCTTTAATTTCACGTGGGGGGTTTGGCACACGGGTTTTCCTTTTTCTCACTTTGCATCTCTTTACGAAGATGCCTTGAGAATCCATGTCGTGTGCCTGTAGTCGTGTGGCTCTGCTGCAGTCACCGTGAAATTTTCTTGAAGCCTCGGGGCCCTTTGCGTGAGTGCGGTCTCGACGTGCGTCAGTGCTCCCGGCAGTGGTGGCAGTTCCGGGCCCCGGCCTGGGCTGCGAGTCGGAGTGAGATACACTGGACACCCGGGGCCGCCACTCCGCAAACACGTTGCATCTAACAGCTTTCAGGTGCTAATTGCGAGGCTTCGTTAGCTTGCCGCTGCATGGAACCTGCGGCCGCAGACACAGAGTCGCCGCCTGAAACTTTACTTGACGTCTTGGGCGCTCCGGAGGTCTCTGTGTGCATCGCCCGCTTCCTGGAAGCCGGGGATCTTTGGGCATTGGAGAGCTGCCACTTTTGGGCGGCGAGTGATCTCAGGTGGTACTTGCGAGGAGAATCGGTGCCTTCTTCTAGAGCTCCTTCTCCGGTTCCTGCTGGCTAAAACAACATGTCTTCCTCAGGCGCTGCTGCCGAGGCATCAGTCGATTCGGGGGGTGCTCCTTCCGAAGCCAGTTCCGAGGTATTATCTTGGGACCGATTACCGAGGAAGGTCCGATTTGCGATCAGCAAGGATGGGACACAGCCAGGCTCTTCACTGCTTGCAACCTTATTTGTGGATGAGCGGGATTTATCTGCTTTTCTGGAAAAGCTGGGTTTTGCTTCTGGGTCTGTGGGGTGGTTGTCCTGCCTACGCATACTGGTGCACCTTACAGATGATGCGAATGGTCAGGCCGGCAGAGCCTGGAGAGCTCGTGCAATGCAAGGGCTACATCAGATTCATCATGTCGGGTCACCCTTGAAGGATCTGTTTCAGGCGGCTCCTCCTTCACATGAGTGGCTTGCAACGAAGTCGGGGGCCAAACGGCTTCTTCTTCGTTGGCCTACTAGGAGGGATAAGGAGCTTGCTCTTTCTTCTGAGTCTCATTCGAGGGCCCGTGTTGAGGCCTCAGAGTTGAACCGATGGAGGACTCGGCTTGTTTCTGCATTGAAGGAGTGCCGAATGCCTGTATGTTCTCATGCCGCGTTTGCTACAGATCCTGACAAGATCCTCTTAACCAGTTCGGGCAACGTTCGTTCTTCCACTCTCAGGTCCCGCATTCGCGAATGGGGGAAATTTTCAGCATGGTGCATGGCCACTGAGGGGCGACCTTTTCCGTCTCATGTTGGTCTTTTGCTGGATTACATTGAGGAGCTTCGGGAGCAGCCTTGCGCCAAGACTCGCCTCAAGTCAGTGCTTTCTGCCACTGCCTTCTTTGAAAAGGCGGGAGGCATCAGGAGAGAAGCGACCATGTCGCTACAGCCGATCGTCTTGAATTTGGTCAACACGCGCACCGCGGAGCTGGAGGTCGGGGCTCCTCCTACCAGGAGAGCAGTTCCACTTCCGATCTTCGTTGTAATCTCGCTGGAACTGATGATTTCTTCAGTGGATGTTCCGAAGTATCTGCGTGCTTATGCGTGGATCAAGTTGTTCAAATTTTGGATACGAGCAGATCTGACGACCTTCAGGGGGCCTCCTTTGATTCCATGGTTCTTTCGGAGTCGGGTCTCAGGGGACATTTTGACAGAACCAAGACAAGTGGGGCAGGGAGGAAGGTGCGCTTCCTCCCTTTCTTCGTCTCGGCTGATGCTTGGCTGGCTAACAAGGATTGGCTCAGGCAGGGCTTCAAGATTTGGAGGGGAGCTGAGTTTGGCTTTAAGCGGGACTACATGGTCCCGCGCCCCACCCGCAATCTTCAGGGCTGCAGGCCGGTGCTGGCTTCGTACAACGATTTGGCGGCGATGTCGAGGCTGGTGCTGGCTTCATTGAGGTCTCCTGCATATTATGAGGGGGATTGGTTTCTCTCGGACGCTAAGCTTTTGGATGCTGAATTGATCAGAGTTTTCACTGAACATTCGGAGAGAAGCTGCATGTCTACTTTGGCGGCTTGGGCTGGGATCGACCGGGAGAGGAGAGACTATCTTGGACGGTGGCATATCGTGGAAGCCGCTGATGTGTATGTGAGATCCGCATGGAAAGTGGTCAGCTCACTGCAGGCATTTGTCGTGTATGCGCTTGCAACTGCAATCGAACTCTGCAAGGTCGGGGTTAGTGAAGCTCAGGAGCGGCTTCAGGACAACGGTTGCGGAGAGGAAGCTGCGAGTCCTTGCTTACTCCTGCCTCTTGGATGGGATGGAGATTGTCCTTTATTAGCAGTCGCCCAACTTTGCCTATGGTCGATCGCCCGGCACCGGCGGCTGATCCGGGACCTGCTGCACAGGACTTTAAATTCTTTGTGGCTGTTTTGGGCAAGAGGTCGCTTCGACGACTTCATCGAAAGGGCGGCTGCGGGACCAAACCAAGTGATCTGATCCGTTGCGAGTTTTACGACTCCTTAGAGGGGGTCGAGTATGATACTGAGTGCAAACACTGTTTCAAGCCGGAACCCTCAGCAGTGATTCCTTCTGAGGAGGCTGAGGCTTCAGATGAAGGCTCGTCGAGCACGTCGCTCGAGGATCATTCCGACAGTAGCAGCTCCAGTTCCTGAGAGTGGGACTGGGTCGCCTGTGACAAGAAGGCTGCACCGAGCTATCGTGGGGCTGTGTCGGTGATCTTATCGTGTGTTTTACATTTCTTTGGAGCCTTTGTAGGCTGGGATCGTTTGTGGAGATTTTATTCCGCGATTCAACATGCTGTTTGCTTGCAGTGGTGTCAAGATGTTGATTCGTGGAAATTACATTCCATGGTTCAACATGCGGATTGGAAGTCGTGCTTATCGACTTTGATCGGGGAAGTTCCCTCGGTCGTGATTGTCTTGTTCGCTGCACAATGCGTCATCGGATGGAGTTGGAAACAAAGACTTCGTGTGCGCAGCTTGATCGGTTGTGCAATTGCACAGGAACCGATCAGACAGAAGGGGGCCGGTCTGGTCAACTTCGGATGGGCCCAAGCTAGATTGTTCTGGACCCAATGACGCCCGAGCAGCTTGCAAATCTGGAACGCCTGACTACCGATCTCCGGTTCCACCTGGATCAGGCTGAGGTGGAACCAAAGTGGGGGCCTTGGGGATCATTTCGATCCCCTTATTTGCCGGGCTTGATGAGGACCGCGAAAAGGTGCGGGGGGCCCTGGCTGCTGACCTCCCTTTACCGTATCAGGACGGCGTCGCCCAAAGGCTGGAGATGGCTCGCATCCTCAGTGCATGGGAGGCTGTGAAACTTCATCTGGAGGTCAGTGAGAAGAATCGCGCGGAAGCTCGATTGGGCACCCAGCAGAGGTTGCTGCAACCTAATGAGCAACACAGCATGAGAGTGGCTGTCGAGACAGTCCTGGGAAAGCTCAAGGACAAAGAAGTGCCCTCGCGTTCGCTTTTGGCTGCGAAGCTGGAGCAGATCGAATCAAATCAACCAATCGTTGAAAACCTTCAAGAAGTCGCTTCATTGGAGGATAGTGAACTCGAGACTTATTCGGCGGTCATCGATCCGATGACGAATGTCTTGAAGGTGAAGCCGGGCAAAACCTTAACCTCTTTGCCTCAACCTCCCGAGGAGCTGCGACTTCGTCACCGGCGCATCGGCTTAGCTTGGGACTTCTTGGCTACCAAGCACTCGAGCCGCCCTTGGCTTTCGAGGAACCTGACTGATATCTTCAGGCGCTTCAGTGACTACATCCTCGGGTCGCAGGTGGCAGGATTGCTTACTGGTGACGGCCGCAAGCCCACTTGGTCTTTGATCCTGCAGTTCGAACATGAGGCCCGGAAGGCGGCGTACAAGTGGCTGAGGGATGGTGAGGTGCCAACTCTCGAAGCTGCATTCAGCCGGGCTATGGTGGACACTGAGGTCCTTCAGCGACATCTCATCATTCCGTTCACGCTGAATGTCACAGCCCGGCAGAGTGATGATATGCCCAATTCATGGGTGGAGCGGCCCGGCCGTGGTCGTGGGAAGGGCCGTGGAAATCAAGGACGCGGTTCTCAAGGGCGTGGCGCTCGGAATCAGCAGCTGAAGCAGCAAGCCGATCCCAATGAGCATCGTGGCAAGTTGACTAAAGATGCTAACGGCGAGCCCATCTGTTGGAAGTTCAACCGAAAGGGTGGCTGCACAAATGATCAGTGCCGCTTCAAACATGTTTGCCAGCGGTGTCTTTCGACCTCGCATCCTTACTTCAATTGCCCGATGGTGAAGCGCCCTACCGGGGGCAACTGACTTGAGGCTGCTAGCACGGTGGATGAAGATGAGGCTGGGTTGGAACCTGGCATTCTTTGCATGCTCTATGTGTACGCTGGCCCGCCCTTTAAGGGCGACCTGGTAAGTTGGCTCGCGAAAGAATCGCATGGCCAAGCTTTTCATGTGGAGGAATTTGATATGTCCTGCCTTGAGGGCGATCTCGGCGAATCTCGCTGGGAAGCATTGCTGCATGACTTTGGACAATCACGGTACAACTTACTGTTCCTGTCCCCTCCTTCTTTTTCGTTTCATCGGAGCCGCTTTACTTCTTCTTCTGGGTCACCTCCATTGCGCGACGAACGTTGGCCCGAGGGCTTTCCCTGGCTTCGAGGCACCTTGAAGGAAAAGGCCCAGACGGGCACTCGTCATATCAAGCGGGCCTTGGAGCTTGCACATAAGGCGGACTCTATGCGGATTCCATGGCTTTGGGAACATCCGGAGCACCTCGGCGCCACCTCGCGAGGCATTCCAGCCTCCATCTGGACTTGGGCCGAGACTAAGAAGTTCTTCTTGCGTGTGCAGGCCTCTTCTGTGGCTTTGACACAGTGCTCCTATGGGGCCCCGACACGAAGACCGACTCGCCTTGCAGGTACTTGGCCCAACTTGGGTTCCTTGGGCGTGCAAGGCTGGCCCATTATAGATCATGAAGGTCACTATCGCGGTCCGCTTCCTCGTAGTTGCGGTCACGATCATGGAGCGGCACTGGCCTCTTCGGTTTACCCCGCAGCTCTTTGCCGAGCTGTTGCGAAACTGGCCTGGCTGGCGTGGACACCCTTCTCGGCCTCGAAACAGGGGGATTCTTCTTTACGGGCCGGGAAGGATACTTCAGAGAATGCTTTCTCTTCTTCGTCGAGCTCTGCTTCTTCCTCCGATCCGGAGGCGTTGGCTTCTTCATGGCATGTCCCGACGAAACAGCAGCTCTTGAGACTCCTGGACATGCTGCCATCTGACAGCCCTCCGAGAGGAGAGCTACAAGAAGGCTCCAAGGCTTTCACCGTGGGTTCCTACGCTGTCGGCGGTGGTCTTCTAGGAGTGCGGAAAGCCACGAGGCAATTCCCTGAAGTGACAAAGGCCCTTTGTCGTTTCGTGGATTCCCTTAAGCAAGGTTTTCAGTTTATGGCAGTGGCTCTCTTTCGCAATCTCCGTACTCTTCCCCACCGTGACCTGGGGAATCAACAGGGTACCTGCAACCTTGTGGCAGGTCTCTCCGGGTTTGGGGGGGGTGGGGTTTGGGTTTCTTCGGATTCAGGGTCTGTTCCTTGTCCTTTCGATGCCTTTTCGGAGCTGGGAGATGTGCTTCCCACAGCCGGCACCTTTGCTGTGTTTGACGCCCGGCGTCTTCATTGCACTATGGAGTGGAAAGGCTGCAGGACTGTTCTCGTGGCCTACACTCCGTTTCTGGGTGAGAACATGGCCGCTCAGGATTTGGATTTTCTGATTTCGCTGGGTTTTCGCACACCGACGCAAGTCTCAGCTACGGACCGGCCTCCGATTGAGAGACTCCTGGAAGATAACGACGATGCTCCGGGGGCGAAGGACCTTTGGGGTGATCTTCCTAAGGACAAGTTCGACGACGATGTGGCATCTGACGGAGAAGCTGGCAGCACTTCGGAGGAAGATGAGGATGGAGTGGCGAAACCTGGCTACGGCTCGGGCAAGCTGGGTTGGGGCCCGCCACTTAAGACCAAACTCATGGGTCGCTCGAGGTGGTTTGCCGATGGGCATGGATTGGCGTCGCCGGGCCGCTGGCCCCCTGATCGGAGGCCCGCTGGAGACAGTGATCTTGATCTCTCACTACACAAGGGGCTCATGGATGGCTTGCTCAAGCTGCTGACTGACTCTCTGGATGTGAAGCGGGAAATCTGCAAGCTGGCGACTGGTCGAGCTTCTTGCTCCCCCTTTCATCCGGATTTGCTCAAGGCTGGTCGCGACCTCCTCTTTAGCAGGTTACGTGGGGCTGGGAGTCGCGAGGCATTGGACCACGTGCCGGAGCGGCAGCCATTTTACTTGGAGGCCATTGGGGAGCTGCTGCGCTTGGCAGGGGATCCGGATTGGAGGAGATACACGAAATCATCCTGCTCGTTTGCCGCGGGCGTTCCGCTGGGTGTCGATACTAGACTCCCGAGGACCCCTGCTCTCTTCTTCAGAAAGACGAAGCACAGAACCTTCGAAGGTGCCGAGGATCTACTTTCGGAGGAGCTCCGCGCCAATTATCCTTCTGCCCGCGGTCACGAGGCGAAGATTGAAGAGCAGTTTGCCAAGGAGGTTTCGTTGGGCGCTATGGTGGAGATGTCAGTGGAGGAGGCTCGTGCTGAGTTCGGCGACGCGCTCTCAGTGGCATCTCTGGGTGCCATACCCAAAGATGACGACTCGGTGAGGGTGGTCCACGATGGGACCACGGGCAACATGTGAATGATCGCATCAAGGTCCGTGATGCTCAGAGCTCTCCTACCGGAGGGGACCTTGCTACTGCCCTGGAGGAGCTCCCCAGTGCTTTCTTCTCGCTTTCGGGGGACATCAGCCGTGCACATCGGCTGGTCCTTGTGCGGAGGGCCGACTGGGCCAGGCAAGCGTGCCGGGCCCGTAACAAGGATCGCGTCTTCTTGAATACGGTCGGGACATTCGGCATCTCCAGCGCGTCCTACTGGTGGTGTCGCTTGTTTGCTGGCCTCGGGAGACTTCTTTACTATTGTCATGGTCAGGACGCAACCACTCTGTTAACTTATGTGGATGACTTGATCTGGCTTACGCAATCCGCTCAGGGCCTGCCACGAATCTTGGCATCGATCTTCCTTCTGGAGATTCTGGGAGTTCCCTTCGCTTGGCATAAATTCCGAGGTGGAGCCGAGCATGGCTGGATTGGATTTTCCATTGCAGCGCATCAAAGGCTCCTGGGCATCTCCAAGTCACGCTCGGATTGGATGATTTGCTGGATACGGAAAGTCAAGGCCGACGGCTTCGTGAACATTGCTGATATGGGAGCGGTGGTCGGGAGGCTTTCTTTCGGCCTGACTGTTTTGCCTCTGCTGCGCCCTTTCTTAGGTCCGCTTTACGCTTGGGTAGCTGCTGTGAGGCATTGTCATGTTTTGAAACTCCCGAAGGCAGTCGTCTTGATTCTTTCGTTTCTCGAACAATTCTTCTTAAAAGATCTTCGCACAGCTTATGTGCCCCGGAAGGGGCGCGCCACTGTGGAGCTTTTCCGCACGGACGCAAAGGCTGAGGGAGATCAGATGTGGATCGGAGGGTGGGCTTCGGGACAGTCCGCAGATCCACGCAAATGCCAATGGTTCGCCGAGAAGATTTCTCATGTGGATGCCCCGTGGTTTCACATGGCAGGCCAGTCTTATCGTGCAATTGCTTCACTCGAGCTACTTGCGACTTTGGTGGGAGTGATCTTGTTTGAAGCTCCGCCCAACACGAAGGCGAGTTTCATTTGCAGTGCTGCGACGGACAACCGGGGTAACAGTCTGCTCACGGCTCGTTGGCTGACGACTTCTTTCCCACTGGTTGCAGTGCTCATGGAACTGGCGACGGTTCTTCAAGGGCGTGCTTTGTCACTCGAGCTTCACTGGGCACCGAGGTTACAGAACGCTTTGGCCGATGCTTTAACAAATCAAGATTTCAAAAGCTTCGATCCTGCGTTGAGGCTTCGATTCTCTTTCAAGGATTACCAAGCGGTGATCATGAAGGAGATGCTTGAATTGGGAACTTCGCTTTATCAAGATATCGCGGAGTGGAGATCGCGTAAGCGAGGGGCCCCACCTCAGAAGGATCCGGCATCGCGCTCAAAGGCCACAAAGTTGTCGACCAGAGATCCATGGAAGTAGCATTCCGTCATTCTTCGAAGAGGGGCAGATTGAGGTTGCGAAATGCAACTTCATTGTTGCAAGGTGTGTATCTCCTTGCGGTGGCCTCCTCTTTTCACACAACCTTTACCGGCGAGCTTCGCTGTTAAAACATTGGTCGAGCGCGGAGTGTCTTGCATCTTCAGTTGCAACATGTACATCGTTGATTGATGGGCATTTATATTTGCGACGGTGACATATTTCTGATTTTCCCCACATATCAATTGGGGAATATTCGTCCAACTGTTTTAGTTGGTCTTTCAACAGCTTCGAAACAACTCGCGAGGTGGACGTGTCCATCGGAGTGAGTTTTTGAGAATCTGAGTTTCGTTTTCGTGTGCCTTTATCACGAAAACATTTTCTGTTTTCACAGAGCTTTGTCCTTTAATTTCACGTGGGGGGTTTGGCACACGGGTTTTCCTTTTTCTCACTTTGCATCTCTTTACGAAGATGCCTTGAGAATCCATGTCGTGTGCCTGTAGTCGTGTGGCTCTGCTGCAGTCACCGTGAAATTTTCTTGAACCCACCCACCCACTCCTAGGGGCAGATTGAGGTTGCGAAATGCAACTTCATTGTTGCAAGGTGTGTATCTCCTTGCGGTGGCCTCCTCTTTTCACACAACCTTTACCGGCGAGCTTCGCTGTTAAAACATTGGTCGAGCGCGGAGTGTCTTGCATCTTCAGTTGCAACATGTACATCGTTGATTGATGGGCATTTATATTTGCGACGGTGACATATTTCTGATTTTCCCCACATATCAATTGGGGAATATTCGTCCAACTGTTTTAGTTGGTCTTTCAACAGCTTCGAAACAACTCTTCATCATCACTGCCAAACTCATCGTCACTGAAATCATCACCGTGATCTGACAAAGGCACGTCACCTGCGCAGTCAGGGAGGTATTCGTCGCTATGATAGCAAGTCAAGGTTTCATCCCCAACGCAAACATCAACACCTGTGACCTTTGCAACCCTGGCGCGCTTAGCATCTGGGTTTCCTGACATGTCCTCATCATCGCCCTCGGGGGCGGCTGCCGAAGCTACATCTGAAGATGTGGGTGGCACATTTGCCAACGCCACAGGCGGCAGTGCAGATGAAGCAGAAGGTTCACCAGGCGGTGAAGTTCGGGCAGCCTTTGAAGGACGATCGTCAAGGTCGGGAGCACCATCCCGAGAAAGCGGCCCAGCAGGGCTCGCAGGAGGCACAGGCGTCGAAGCATTTGACTGGCTTGAGTCAGAATCACTCGACAGACTGTCATCGTCGGCAGTGGGAGGCGCACCCCGCCAGGATCAACGGCACCAACACCACCTTCAATCGGTTCACTCTCAAGCAGCTCGGAGTAAGGCACAGCCGGCTCGGCTTGAGGAGGCGCTTGTTCGATCACAACTCCATCGCGGGGTATCGCGGGCTTGCGGCCCTGAACCTTAGACCTTCCGGTGGCACCAGTGAGAAAGGAACCATGCTTCCAAGTGGGGTCCTTAAGAACGTCGGGACTTAGGGGCTCAAAGGACTCAGACAGCCTACGCGCAGTGCGACTCAGCATGAGCCGTCCGGCAGCAGTCACCGACACCCACTGATCAGAAGACGGAAGCTTTCCTAGCATCATAGCTTGGATGAATCTGGCTTGGCCTTTGGGAGCCTGTTTAACAAGTACCATGCATGTTTCACCGAATGGCAAAACTGGTCCTTTGTAGGGCCTACCAGTTGCCGCTTCGTAAGAGGTTATACCTCCAGCTTGCACCGAAAATCGGTTGACGAGCCAAGCCGCATGGCGGTAAGCCCAAGAGTAAAGCGGGTGATCCGTCCGGATCTTGGACTTTGTGCGCCGTTCGAACGCGGCCAAAATGGTACCTGCCTCCGCCTTTCGGTATCTTGGTTGCTTGGGCCTTGTGTGGAGCAGCCCGCCTCAATAACCTTAAAGCCTTCGATAAGCGTGTCGAGCATTTAGCCCTTCCCGACCTTACCGACGCCTCCCTTAGGGGCCCTACGACGCAGGAGCTTCTTGCAGCGGACCGTAAGATATGGAACACCATATCCAGCCTTGTCGCGTCAGGCTGGAGCCTTGATGAAGCCTTGTACGAGGTCACCAGCATACGCAGCAGTGACCTTGCCAACCTGCTGCAGCCTAGGCCTCGGCCACCGCCGACACCCCCCAAAGGGCGGGGAAAAGGCCAAAAGCACCCAGATAGCCCCTCTAAGTCGGAAGCCTGGCCAGCCAACTGGGTTTTGAAAGCCAAGGAGGAAAGAAACCTTTGCCTTGCCAAATTGCAAGTTCGAGTGCGGCAAGGAGCACTGTGCCGTAGACCACCTTCCTGACTAGGGTCCCCATCTACGCCCCAGCCGACCTCGCAGCAGATGCCGGCGCAGCCGCTGGAGCCTCCCCACAGCACTCCCACGCTGGTTCCCACGGACGCGCAGCCTGACGCAGGCGTGGCCTTTCACCAGCACACCTCAGTCCCCGGCCCTAATTTGGAGGAGGCCCCCCAGAAAAAGAGTCTGGACCTCCCTCACTTTTTCGAGAAGAGCCTTCAAAAAGTACCTGGCCAACTCCTCCACACCATTACATCCCGCACTGTGCTAGGCCTGGCCGTGTGCGGACCCAGGACTGGCCGCTCTGGAAGCAGCCGCCCCTCTCGCGCTTAACCAGGACGTCGAGCTCACGGCCAACCGAGCCCACTTTTTCGACGGGGCCCCCAATGCACAGCCCTAAACAAAGCCCAGGCCATCATGACAGCCTGGCTTCACTGGGCTTCGGAGCGGGATCTGCCCAAACGAATCTTCGCCCACCTCTCGCAGAGCAAACCGGATCATCCGATCCCGGAAGAAGACCAACTCCAGCTAATCCGCATAGCGTGCGATGTCATGGAGTGGGACTACGACTCCATGACCCAAGCAGCCGACGGACAGCCTTTCCGCCTGAACCTGCTGCAAGCCTTCCTCGAGGACCCCGACAAAGACCTTCCAGCCCATCTCCGGGTCGGCGTCCACACGGGAGTGTTCGACGAAATCCAGCCCTCGGGGCTTTGGCCCCTTGCCAAAATCCAGCCCCTTAGCTCTTCGGGACTCGAAGTCTGTGAGGGCAATTGGAAGCCTGCCAACGCCGACCCAGACACAGTCCGTAGCCTTCTCGCAGACGAGGAAGCGGCGGGCTGGATCAAACCCGTGCCAGGAGGGCTAGAGGAAGCCAAACGCTTTTGGCCTAAAGGCATAGCAGTACGGAAGCTCAGCCTTGTGAAAGCTGACAATAGGGACCCACGCCTCGTCCTTGACAGCACTGTTTGCCAAGTTAACCCGTTGTGCCGCATCCCGGAAGCGGTCGCCATGCCTACGGTCAACGACGTCCGTGCCACCTTCCTGCCATCCGACCCTCGAAGTGCCTTCCTTGCAGCCAGCATAGACATAGACTTTAAGGCAGCCCACAAGCGGGTCAAGGTCCAAGCTCCGAACAAGGCCTTCTCCTCTTTATGTTTGAGAAGATCCTTTACAGATACGTAGTTTGTCACTTCGGAGCCAAGTTTTCTGCCTACTGGTGGCAGCGAGTGGGAGGCCTAATAACTAGGATAGCACACCATGCCCTAGCCTTTGCACCACACAAAGCCTGGCTGTATGTCGATGACCTCCTGACAGCCCTGCTCCGGGCACACGCTCCCGAGATCCTCTTCCTCCTTATAGCCATCCTCTCCAGCCTAGCCGCTCCTATCAGCTGGAAGAAATGTTGAATTCTGTACATAGGAACGCCCCACACCTTTGGTGAGCCCAGGCTACGGTATAGTATTGTATAGCTGCATACTATGTGACCGACGCAGCGCCTTTGGTTCAAGAGTAAAAGCGTGACCGCTCAGGGTTTTACAGTTTAACTTGGTAGCGGAGCAAGGAAGCCTGAAGATCCAGGAAACCTGTGGGCCGAAGGAAACCGGATTGGAACCGGAAGAAGTATACGAGGATACCTGGAAACTGGACAGTAAATCTTGGAATTCGCCATGAAGGTGATCATGGAGAAGATGTACAAGGACCTCTTGCGATTTGTGTTTGGATTCTGTATGAGTATCACGCTGAGTCTGAGCCAAGGAAGTATTCAGGAAACAAGTTGCTTGTGGATGAACATGTCTCACCTTGTTATCCGACCGCAGCCGTTTACCCTCAAAGAGGAAATTTCGGATTGTGTATGGGATCAACTGTATCCCCAAGGATGGGAGAACGAGCGGAAGAAGGATCTCTCGTCCCAGCGGCAGGAGCTATGGAACTCAACGACAGTGAAATCTTCCAGGATGAACCCCGCCAAACGGTATCGCGATTCACCGAACAAGAACCGTTGCCTAGAGTGGCAAGGCCTGGCATGGAAGATGTCATGGCCGGACGAACTGCGGAGTTGGGAGAAATGCGACAGAGTGCAGAAGAAAGGAGATCTGCATTGGTGGAGCAAGTTAACCTCCTGCAAACGCCAGGAAGAAAAGCTGCAAGTACTCCAGCAAAGACTCCAGTATCAACTGGAGGAGGAAAGTCGCGAGAAGAAAAGAAGAAAGAGAAGAAGACTGCCAGGAAAGAAGCCAAGCAAAGCCGGAAGGCCGAGAAGGCTAAAAGGAAGCAGGAAGAAGAAGCCACAAGTCCTCAAGGTATTCGACGTAAGTTGGATGAAGCTATGGAAGTGGCAGGATCGATTGAGAATGTCATGTTGCTTGAGAAAGAGTATAAGCGGTTCAGACTTGACAGGAAGTATCAACCCCCCTTCCTTAGTATCTACAGCCAGATGTTGCAGAACAATTGGAAATTCAAGCCCAGATCTTTCTACGATCCCCCAGGAAAGGACCCAGAGACGGAACGTCTCGAAGCTCTCAAGGAAGAAGAAGAGAAGAAGTCCGAGGCAGAGTCTCGGAAGCGTAAGCTTGAAGAGCTGGAAGAAAAGAAGCGTACCTTGGAGGCTGAGTCAAAGCGGAAGCAGCAAGAACTCGAGGATGAAGCAAAGCGTATCCGAGCTGTGGAAGAAGCTGAACGGAGAGCCAAAGAACTTCAGGAAGCCAACCGTAAGAAGGGCAAGATCAACGTACCAGTGGAGACTGTGGATCCGGATGAATGGTACCGCAACAAAGCCCGTGAAGTCGTGGACCGGTTGCGCTCTCGTAGAGAAGAGCAAGTGGCAAACTCCCGTAAAGCCGAAGAGGATTGGCTCCAAGCCTGCAGAACTCTCGAGAAAGCCCAGAGTGGATTCCTGGTGGCATCGGAAAAGCTGCAAAGTGCCATGGGAAGAGCTATCAAGGTCGCAGTACGCCACGGAGAGGAAAAAGGCCTACTTCAGATCTTGCAGTCCATCCACGATGGAACTACTCAAGCACCGGAGCCAGCGGAACCCGCTGTTAAAGCGATGCCGCAGCCAAAGAAAATGCCCAGACTGGATGCGAAGGATCCTAAGAGTACTGGAGAAGACAAAGAGAAAAGGATCCCGGATAAAAGAAGGTCTGGAAAAGGTAAGAAGCAACCACCTGAGGAAACCCCTGGATGGGAATGGACAGAGCGGATCTACGAGGAGGATTGGCCTGAGTCGCGCCATCAGCTGCGTGACGGAGAAGAATTCCTCCCAGGAAGTAAGCCGCCGTTCACCAGGGAGTGGACGCATGAAGTGGCAAGACTTCTATCTGGATTGGCAATGCGCGGAATTGGAGAGAAGGATGGAGAGTATCAGCCTCTCTGGGAATTCCCCTGGCAGATCGCTTCGTATGAAGACTTTGAAGCAATCCAAGCGCAATTGGAACCTTACAGCGTACGACTCATCCCGTCTCGACGGGAGAGTAAGGGAGCCGGACGCTACACCGAAGTATGGAGTATGCATCCTGCTGGGAAAGGCCGTTTGGACATCGAGCCTACAGAAACCTCCCGGAAACGTACTGTGTATGGAAGCCTACCTCCAGGAAAAAGTTTGTGCTCGCTATGTTGGCATGGTGGACACTGGAAGAAGGCATGCAAGTTCAGCGCGCTATGCTTTTGCCTGTACGAGCCCATGCTCACAATATTGGATCGCGGAAACAAGACGAGGCGACTGTATCCGATGCGAGGAATATCTCGCCCAGGGTACCAAGGAGATGCAACGAACCCGTACAAGAAGTTTTTCCCGATGCTCGCACTTTGCGATTTCGGGAGTATGTCCAGAGAAGTCTCGGAAAGCAACAAGAAGTTTTGGGAAAAAGCTAAGGCTGAAGGAGGCTTTCCAGTGCTGCACCAGGATGAGCAAGCCAATCGGAAGAAGGAGGCCAGTCAAGCTGCTACAGCGAAGAAGAAGGCCGAGCCGGAAAAGCCTAAGCAGGATATCTGGACAGCAAAGGAGGATGAAAAGGTGGTGGACTTGGTTGAACCTACCACAGAAGCACCGAACAGAGAAGAACTCCGTCGCCAGTATGAAGAGCACCACAAGGCAAAGTTGCGCAGGACGTTGGAGTCGCGTGAAGCCCAGAAAATTCTGGACGCCAAGGAAGCAAAGGATGCAGGAAAGGATCCAGAAGTTCCAAAGGAAGCAGTTCCGGAAGAATCAGCAGTACCAGAAGCACCCGCAGTGCCGGAAGAGCCTACGCCTGGTAAAGGAAACCCAGGACAGGATGAAGCCGGAAGCGATGACAAAATGTCTGATGCGGAGTCAGAGGCAAGCGAAAGTTCGGACCGTGTGGATGATCCGGAAGACCCGGACCCGGATTCTTCGGAACTCGACGAGAAGGCCGCTAAAGAAAGCAAGAAGCAACACGAGCAAGCTGGAAGAAGTGAACCAGCCGAGCAGATCGACAAGAATGATCTGTAGGGCGCTTGAGCAACTCGCTGCCCCGTGTACGAAGCTGCATACAGCAAACGCTGTGCTTGTACTACTAGCACTTCAGCTCATTTGGAGCTGCGTATTCAGATCAACTCTTCTTGCAGGAAGAATGCAAAAAGGAGTCACGTGCACTTGTATGCGAAGGAAAGTGAATCGGATGCACAGTATTCGTTGGAGACGTAAAGTGAGTGGATGCAAGCGGAAATTCAGAGCAATGGTACTTGTTTGTTTGCTTGTCAGGACGGAAGCTATGCAAGGACCTCAAGCCGCACAACCGTCATCAGCCGCCGGAGTACCAGTACAAGATGGAGCAGACGGAGATGGATTAGGCATGGTACCTACTCAAGAGATACTTGGAGGTATGTGTGCTTGCTCACGAGTGTTTGGTAATGTTTTGCATGCTTGCTGCACTCATGACATTCCATGTGCATTGCAGCAAGCAGGCTCGCAGCTGCCAGCTCGCCTGCATAGCGGGCAGAAACTTTTGTAGGCTTAACAGGCCTTGCTTTGTAAGCCCTCTAGACCAGGTCTGGAGGCCTCCAATCTGTGTGGAGTTTAGCTTCACTTCATTCCTCTCCCGCTCGCGATAGGGGGAGGAGTGCATGGTTTCAGGCAAGCTGGCCTTTGCAGTTTTCTTTTGCATTTGGCACTTGATTTGCATTATGGATCAGTCAGTGCCTGTGAGTGATTCGTCAGTGCCTGAGAATGGAGATTTTTCTGCATTTGGGGCTGAAAGTGCTACCTCTGACCCAGCACGTTGCATTGTCAAGCGGTTCCAGAAGCGGACCTCCTCTCAGCAGGAGACTTCCATATCATCTGGGGCCTCGCCCTCTTCAGAAGTTCTTGAATCTGTGGTTGCATCGTTGCAGGGCGGTGAGGAAGAGAGCATCTTGCCTCCTGCATTGGCCCTACCGGAGAATGAGGAACCGGTTTTGATTGCTGATTCGTCTGCAGTGTCTCCACCTGTCCAGGGCGGCTATCACGAGGCTCCTGGGGAAGTGGACGAAATCGCAGGCGGGCATCGGCCTCCTTCGCCTGTTTATGATCCAGATTATGAGTTGGTTGATCCATGGGATGTTTCCCTGGAGCTATCTGCATTAGCGGAACACTCTGGTTCTACTTCTTGGGGGCTGGTATCGCCGGTGCCTGAGGAATGACATGCAGTCTCTCCGCCAGGATCCTTGCCTTTTTCCCCACTTCGTGTGGGTCGCCTTTCCTTTGAGGATGCTGTCAGGGAGGTCACCCAACCTTTGCTGCCGGCCTTTTCTCAGCCGACAATTTTGCATCGTCCAGCCGAGCTGGACACTCAACACAAGGCGACTCCGTTGGCTCGTCCAGTTCATGTCAAAGAGAGCAGCAATCGGGCTACAAGCTTGCATTCAATT